AAGAGTGGTGGCCAATGTCATGAGATGGATTATTTAGAACAGCTACAAATAAAATAAAAACAACCAATCTGATAGCCAACCTATGTGAATGCATATTTTTTTTTTGTCGATATTGTCGAATGATATTTTTCAGTCAGCCTATAGTTACATAAACAACTGAATGTTCCGAGCGAAGTAAGAATTGTTTTTGTCTTTGATTTACGGTTTTATTTTTTTCATTAATTTTTTTTATGATTTTAAAACTATCTGTTTATCTATTTAAGAGTTATATCTTATTAAAAAATATTTTTGTTGTCATGAAATATCAGTTAAAAATGCCTATCATTCTTTTAGTTTATCTTAACAAGAGTAAATATTAATAGAGAACATTTTTTAACCAATTTTATTCATAAGTTCAGATTCAAAAAAGACCATCAATCAGAATCCAGTTGAAGAGGATCAGGCCCTTAATCCTCCGCAACCAAGAATACTCAACGATCATTATCAAAACCAAACATTAATTCATTTTCATATGTCTTAATCCTATGCCTTCGGTGATAAGTGTTATTCATACAACAGAAAACAGTTTGATCAGATTTTACTTTAAATAAAAATTTAAGATTAATTCAAAATTAATACTTAAGTTTAAACAGCTTTTTATTTTATTTAATACAGATTTAAATTAGGAGACGATAGTCAAAGAAGAGGCATATAAAAAAGTTCAGTTGACTAACGATGAGAGAGACTGGAAAGATTATAAAAATAAACAGAATACTATAAAATCAGAATGATAGAAAAGCGTTCTATGAAAAATAACATCGATGGATATCTACTGCTAATTGTACGAAAAAGAAGCAAACAATAAAAAATTGGTAGGTAGTAATGAAGTCATATTCTTACAATCCCTTTTCAAAATTGACGTTCGAGTATCCAAGAAAATGTTAACACTTCTTATGCTGAAAACAATATAGATATTTCCAAGAGTATATCAATTCAAACGAGCTGATTTTGTCATAGGAATTATACCACAACGCTAAAATTAGAAAGGTTTAAATTACTCAAATTGAAAGAGCTACTTAGTGTTTATCTTGAAAAATAAATCGACATCTGAAAAAGTTTCCTGCGTAATTTTTGAAATTTGTTTGACGTAGACTATCCTCTATCGAATTTAATAGACACTCCTTTATCTACCGGATAAGTTTCAAAGAAATGAAAACTAGTCTAATAATTCCAGTTCTTGGACAGCAAGACCATACAAAGACTTTAGACCGATATATTTCTTCCTGTATATTGACAAAATATTAAAGACTCTCATATGCTACCAGGTACGTACTTTCTTTGAAACAGATAGGAGTATTTATAAAATTCAATCCGAATAAATAAGATTTAATTGTAAAAAATGTAGATTGTTCTTAGTGACAATCCAACTGAAAATTCTACCTGCGTATTTATAGGCCTAGTCTGTGTCCACCTTTTTCTTTAAGAATTTATTTATCGATTTTTGCGAACCCTGGTATGTTTACTTTAAGTTGACAAAAAACGTCTATGTTTTTGTATTGTTTAGTTTTCGGCCCTTGCCTTGAACAAATATTATCGCCACGGAGTTATTCTGGCGTAGAGAAACAAAATATTCGAACACTGAAATTACGGACAAACTTCCCTTCCTTTAAGAAATGTGATGCAATAGAGTAATAGATTACACAAACACAAGAAATGTTAAAATGACAAATTTTTGAAATTAAGAATAACCTAAAAATCATATTTTGATGATCTCCTAGTTGCGAAACCGGAAAAGCACTTTTAGAATATACGTGCTAAAAATAATTTTGATAACAAAATTTGAAAAAATGCATATATGTAAAACCTTCTAATCAGTGATGGAACCAGGCTATTTAATGTACTTTCTACTAATCTGACGAACGCTCTAGTAATGCTAAATTATTTCAAAAATCTATGAAAGTCAACAAAACAATAATAATGTTCAATATAAGTAAATAATATTGTTATTTCAAGGATATTTTTAGTGAACTGATTGCTTGACCCCACACCTGAATGTAAATCGTTATTTTTTGGGGCTTACTCAACCGGGTCTCACAATGCAAATTCACCTCAAATATCCATTTAGTTGGTCATTGGCAAGCACTCTCTCATTGTACATGAAAATAACAAAACAAACACTTACTGATCTGGATAAAATTGATAGTTAAATAGTAAGGCTCACCCAGGGGTACTCCGCTCCCTAGCCACTGACATCACTGACATTCTATTCAATATATCCCATTCCATATCTTCCATCTAATTCAAATATTATTCGGATCTATTGGTTAATAATCTTCAACAACTAGCTAGTGTCACCTAAAATGCTATAGGGGCTTCCCCCGGACGCAACTCTGCCGCTAAACAGATTCGCATCCCAAACGATGAGGCTAATTGGGGTCCTCACACAACGCCCCAGCGGTGTCAATCGAAAAGCAAGAGGGACCTCAAACTCTCAAGACCATCCTCGAAGGAACGACGTCACAAGAGGTTTTCTACTTCCATAGTTAAAAGACTCGCTACTTCCAAATGTCAGCTCTGTGACAAAACACAACACTACACAGCCGGCCGGCCTATCAACAACTGACTGACCTCCGCCTGCCGAGCTAAGCCTCCTCTTACATCACAATTTTACCTGATCACAAATATTTACATCGCTTGCCAATGAATCATACTGTTTTCTCTAATCGACTTTCAAATAGAGTGTTTTAGCATTACCAAATAAATAAATAGAGAGTTTCCGAAGGAATGCATATTGTTTATTAGAATAGTGAATAAATAAAAGCATTATTATGACGAACTTATTTTCCAAGTTTTACATTTGCGAAAAGCAGGATGTATAGGGTTGTGCAGGATAGCGGTCGGTAAGCGATAAACCAAGTAATAATTACTCACCGATTTCTTGAAATACGATTGGAGACACTTCCTTACCTATAAAGAAAACAAAAGAACGTTAATACTCAAATGGTATAGAAAAATTAACATAAACATTTTAAAACTTTGCTCCTCAGAATTCTAATTTTTGAAATATTTTTAATAGTTTTTGAGTCTATACTTAAGGCATTTTTACAGGTTAGTTACAGGTTAGTATATTTATAGGTATATATTTAGAAAATAAATTGAAGGGTAATGGGTACAGAGAACTGGAAGGAATCTGTTCCTATTGCTCTAGTTTCGGTAATTAGTGCGATCAAAACGGCTGCCCAGTGCAAAAGTAAAAGTGTTTTGGCGTATTGTTGTGAATTAATGTATTAGTTCAGTCATTGGGGATCAAAAAAGGAGCCGGCTTGGAAAAAAGTCCGGAAGTTTGGAAACTTTGCAGGTTTATAGGTTTTGGGGTTCCTAACTTAAAATCCATAAAATGCACATTTCCACACTCGCCGCCGGCGCCGCCATCTTGCCAAGATGGCGCCCAAAATCGGTATTTTGTAAATATCTCGAAAATGCGTTTTTCGCAAAAATTTAAAGAGAGCAAAATTAAAGAGAATACAATTTTCTATAAAAACGGTTATATGAAAATTTTCGCTAAAGTCAACCGTTTAGGCACAAAATCCCTGGAAATTTTACAATTTTGCGTAAAGTATGATATACATATAGTGGATTTTCCGAAATCAAATGTCGATTAGTGTTCACTAAAACTAGTTTTAGTTTAGTTTCTTCAATTTTGTCATGAAACAGTGGCGTATCATTAATTCGCTCATTAATTTATGAATAATTAATTGCCGTGCTGGACAGCATTCATTGCGAACTTACCACCAGATTCAACATTGGTCTGGTTGTACCAAAGATGCCGAAGAATGGGGTTGGAAGAAAACAAAAACAGGCATTACTCCAGTCACAATCGAGGTCACAACGTTGAAAGATTCAGCTCCAAAATCCCTATTGGCATTTTTATCCTGTAAATGCAAAACCAACAAATATGGTAAAGCCTGAGGATGCAGAAAAGCAGGATTAAAATGTTCAATGATTTGTGCATACTGCAATGGGAAATCCTGTGACAACGTCACTGAAGTGTCACTCAACGAATCCGATGAATAGGAGTTGGACTTGCCTGTAGATATCCCCCTGGCGCGGCTGAAGATGAAGAGTTGGACGTATTGAGAGACCACCCCGATGAGCCCAGCACAGCAGACACGATCGACTTTGACATCAATGAGCCAGATCCGTCGGGCTTGTGCAGATAAATTAAAGTTTTTAATTTATCTAGTGGAGTAGGCCTCCGGGGAGACCACATTAAAATAAACGCGCTATGTACTTTACCTCTTGGGTGGTGTGGAAACAAGTACATATTTTCAATAATTAAAATTAATTATTCATAAATTAATGAACGAATTAATGATACGCCACTGTTTTATGACAAAACTGAAGAAACTAAACTAAAACTAGTTTTAGTGAACCCTAATCGACATTTGATTTCGGAAAATCGACTATACATAATATATCATAGTTTACGCAAAATTGTAAAATTTCCAGGGATTTTGTGCCTAAACGAAAACTAACCCCTGACTTTAGCGAAAATTTTCATAAAACATTTTTATAGGAAATTTTATTCTCTTTAATTTTGTTCCCCTCAAATTTTCGCGAAAAACGCATAGTTTTCGAGATATTCACAAAATACCGATTTTGGGCGCCATCTTGGCAAGATGGCGGCGCCGGCGGCAAGTCTGGAAATGTGCATTTTATGGATT